GTCCTAACCCATCGAGTTCATGGAAACAGCGACTTGATGAAACTGAACTCCAAACATCTCCAAGCTAGACTTGGGTTGGGTTAGCCTGAGACTGCAAAGAGGGCCCTCGCTATATTTGATGAGGATTCGTGCTTCGGTGACTGTCCCCAAGCGCCCTGAAGAGGATGTCGTGATCATCTGCTTAGCGCTGTACTTGTCCGCCCTGACTCCTGCGGCGGCGATGCGGCTGGGACGGCAGTTCTGGTAGCAGTTGAGAGGGCATTGGCCTGCCCCTTGACCCTCTTTACCTACAGTTTTATGTGGGTTAGAACTATGAACTAAGGGTAGATACTACTAAACTGTGGGTAAAATAGAGTCCCACGGCTGCGCCAGGCTGTTATACAAGATCTGCATCACGGCTCACCGCAGGACCCAGAAGGAGACCGAGCTTGTCTTGTAAGTTGCCAATGGTGGTGCGAGAGAGAGAGGGCTCCTGGAGCCTATAACCCTAAACCCCTAAAGCCTAAACCCTAAACCCTATGTCCAGCACACATCGGACCCGGGATCAGATACCCGAATGGCAAATCTGAAAGTAGGGGCCTTGGGCACGTCCGGAGCCCTACAGGCTTTGAGTAGATCATGAAGGAGTTTGGGAGTTTGGGTGATCGAAAAAAAGCCCCTCAGGCAACCCTAAAGTTCCTTATTCTTGAACTGCCTGCAAGGAACAGGTAGCAGCCCACAGGAGTAGGAGGAGAAGGAGGAGGAGTTGGGTCCCCAAAGCCTTGAACTCCTAGAAACCCTTCAAGCATGTTGGCCCTGAATGTCTCAGCCACACGGAGCCAGACCCTAAACACACCCTTGCACCTGGCATAAGAAAGGGGTCGGAATAGCTGCTAATGCTAGTGGTATTCCCTTATCGTCCCTGTAGAATTATACTATACTTACCCCCAAGGCCCTATTCTAATTTTTGAGGCTTCTACATAATAGCACCCTCAAAGCTATTCTTGGCAATTGTCAGGAGCATGCCAAGTTTCAGATGGGCCGGGGAGGTCTCCAAGTTGCCCGAGCCCCACCTTCTCGGGTCAAGGGTTGAGGAGGGTTCGGGTCTCAAGTTTAGGATTTCAAGTCTGGGTCCTGTGGACTACAGCACGCTCCCTTCTATCTTTGCTACCTTGATGGCGCCCTAGACACTCCCTGGATCTCTGCTGCATGCTGGATGCAAGCTTCAAGCATGGCTTCCAGCACCACTGCGTGGTTCCCTACACAAACAAACCATGGGGTCTGTCGTTGGGTAGGATAGGACCAGGACCTTGTCGATGACCGCATTCTACCAGTTGACCATGTTGCCATGCAGTCACCTGGCGCTCAGAAGCTGCCTTGACCTAAAGCCCCCCAACACCAAAATCCTAAAACGCAATGTGAGGAATTCTCGTGGCGTTTCTCGGCCAAGACGTCTCTCAGTCGCAACGGGGTGCTCCAAATGAACTTCCCTGAAAGACTTTCTTACAAGGATTCCGATGACACATCTAAACCCTAAACCCACCCAAATCTGGACTTCGGGGCTTGTATAAGATCTCTCATATCAGCGCGTATTGTACGAGATTTAACCGATTGCTGCTTTTTGGGCCTTCGGACAGAGCAGAAGGGATCTTGCAGAAAAGCTTTGTTCTTACCTCCGCGACCTTACGAGTTAGGGACACGAGGAACCAGTGTCGGTCCCTGAATATTGAGGGCTTTGCATGCCAGGTATACCAGACCGGCACTGCCATATGTAGCCGATGCAGTAGTACCCATGAATTTTTCTGAGTCATAGGCAAATTCTTTGCGGTGCTTGGGAGTTGTAGGTTGAGGGCCATTGCGTGGTCTCCAGCACCGGTATAACTTGTCCTTTTGTCAAGTAGCCGACGCGCACGGCTCATTGCGGAGGCTGCGCTTCATCTTTATGCTCATCACCATGCTGTCCACCATTGCAGCAGTTCTCAGCTACATAGTAGCACCTCCACTGCAATGGCAAGGCTTTGTTTCATACTATCTTACGGCCTTGGGGCCTTGAGGTTTTGGGGTTCGAAGCGTCCGCGAGCTTCGGAGTCCGGACGCTTCGCAGGTTTCCCAAGATCCGGGTGCACTTCAGCGTGTTCGAAGAGGGCTTTCAGAGGAGGGTCACGTGATGGCTCCATTGCTGTGGCGCCGGTCCCCAGGTGTAAGCCTGTGAGGAGCATAGAGGCAAGAAAGTGAAGGAAGATGAGGAGAAGCTGGTTTTCTCATATTTTGTGACTAGAAGGTGTTAGTGCACCGCCCCATGACAAACCCGCGCGGACAAGGCGTCTCCCCGCCCACGATTCTTCATGGGTGTACTCCACTTCCTCCGCCAGTTCTGCCAGATAGCCAGCACACCCAAGGTACCCTTTCTCCCTTACGGCCTTAGGCTGTTAGTGGATACTTGGGATGGAAGTTTCTTTGCCAGGTAAGTGCCGGTCTGGAGGCGTTGGGACCTCGGCGTGCTGTGCGGGCTTTCAGCTGGTTGAGTCCATGTGACATGAAGTTATCTTGCGAGTATGTTTCTTTTCATGGCTCCGTGCTGTCATCCAGGTGTTTTCGTCAGTGGATTTGCCGCATCTCGCTCCTCTCTCTTTTGTTCTCTCTCCGCTCTTTATCTCTTCCTCACTCTTTCTTTATTTGTTTATTTCTTTCTGTCCCTGGCTCTCTTTGTCTCTCTTCGGGATGTTGCTGCTGCTGCTTGTTGAATTCTTCGTCGGGGGTGTGAATGTTGAGGCCGCGAGGTGCCGAATTCCCGAATCCATAGGCCTGAGCTTCAGACGGTAAGAGAGGAGATTTGAGGCATGAGCTGTTAGAGGTGTAGAATCCCTCCAAGACCGCATTTATGAAACTATTCTTGCCGAAGACTGTTGCGACATGTTGCCTGCATGTTCCACCTGCATATGTAAGTGCGATATATCCGTTCATAGCGGTTGCACGAAATAACATTCAATTTCTCGACGCTCCCAGAAGGTAGTTTCGTCATTTTTTCCGTTGGGCGGGACGGGCTGCGGCTGCATCTGGCGTAGAGAAGCGCCTGAGAAGGGGATTTGCTCTACTCGGAACACCGCATCGTGCTTTTGGGAAGATTTGGGAAGGCGGTTTGGGATTGTGCTATGGTTTGAGTGGGACTGGTTGTTGGTTATGATTTGGGATAGTATTCTTGTGCGGATTGTTGGTAAGTGCTTTGCCTTTTGCGGTTTTGAAAGGGTTGATGTACTAGGTGGGCTGAGAAACGGTGTAAAGGCGTGGGCGTTTTGGGGGGGGGGGGGGGGGGTCAGCCTATGCTTGCTCCCAAGCCCTAAACCCTAGACCCTAGACCCTAAACCCTAAACCCTGCACCTAAAACCCCGTAAGCTCCGAACCTTGAAGCCGTAAACCCTGGAACCGGCCAAGGTCCGGCTCCCTGCTTCTCGAGTGTGGGAAGAAAGACAACAGCAAGTCATTGGAGTGCCCCTCCCATGCTTTCTTAGGGTTTAGGGTTTAGGGCTTGGGGCTTAGGGTTTAGAGTTGGGGGTTTGGGGTTTGGGGTTGAGGATGCCTAGCAGTACATTGCAACAGGGTTTGTATTACTGTTATTGGTCATATTGCTGCAACTCATGTTTGAGGAGACCCCAGTTGCGAAATTGTCCAAGCAAGTGAGCTGCCTTTCTTGTTGGCGTTGTGTACATCTGCCTAAGTAGTTCATCGTCATCGTCATCATACGGGTGGCAGTTTCCTTCTGCAGGCTGGCTGCAACTGTGAGAGAGCAACAAACGAAAGAACTACCAACGAGAGTTAGACGTTTAATGAATGAGCTATGGCGACCGAATTTACCACATTCAAGTATAGAACATAAATGGAGAGACTTAATGCGTTTAAGAATGTAGTCTCCGTCGACTTGCCCAACACACCATCAATACATGCATCGGTCAATACCGGAACAAGGCAGTAGCCGGCAGTAGCCTTGACATGATTGGCTGTAGGAGGGGCTGTAGGAGCATGTCACTCTCTGTTGCTCTCTGTTCGGCCCATGGTCACTGACCGTTGTTCTTCGCCGTGGTGGGTTCACGTTGTTTAGGGCAGATCTGGTTGGGGTTTGGAGTAGATTGGTCTGACTTTGGGGGCGGTTGGGAAGTTGGCATGTTACTGTAAAGCCCATAGGTGCACAGGAGTCAGGGGTAATGATTGTCAACAGTACACCATGCATGTCGGGTTTTGGCCAGGCAGATGAACCAGAAGCTGCACGAGTTCGCTTCCTCGTCACAGACGCTAAGCCGCATCTTTGATGCTGCTACTGCTTGCTGGTTTAATCGATGCACAACCTGCCCCTTGCATGCCGTGGCTACAACGTAGATGTCATCTACTCTTCCTATGACCCAGCCATGTGTAAAAAAAGACCTGCTTCTCCTGCTTACCTCAACCCTTAGCTTTGCTTGCCAATAGGAAGTTATGCCAGTTCCTCAACATCACGACGCGCTCAAGAAGCATCAAGCTACAAACCTAAGCGTGTATCCCAAAGCTGAATCTGAATCCTCAGCACCAGCAGAAACGGTAAACCGTTGCGATACTTTGCTCGGTTTGGCCTGCATCAACATCCGCTGGCACGCTGCAGAACATAGCCCGCCCCTCATAGGTGCTCCGAATCCACACCACTAGACCAATGCCGTGGCTTCGCCAAGGCTTGCTTCATAGTTGGGTCCGGTCGGCATGACTCAGAAGTTGGGGCTCGTGTGGATCCGATTACTCTCTCCATCCATGTTGCATCGCAAAACGCCTCTGAAGCCCAAACACTAGCCCGAACATGCTGATCGCCACGCCCGGTCGTAGGCTCCTTACAGCCCCCTGACCGTAGCTCCATGCCACAACGCCAGGCATTTCCACCTCCGTCGCCTTGGGCAACGTACACCAAGGCCTGGGGCTGTCCAAGGAGGCCTCTTTTGCTCGGTTTTTCAGCGTAAGTATCATAGACTGCGCCCTGCAACGGGACGCATGTCCTGTCCAAAATGAAAACATCCCACGCGCAGCCGGCGACTGGTTTTTTTTGCGTAGTTCGAGACTCGGGACGTCAGGTCCTCGAACTGGAGCTGGCCGGGCACTCAGAGTACGAGCTGGCACAAATCTTGGGCACGCCTACAGGTTGGGCTTGCTCACTGCTGGCGCTACCGCCACCACCCCTACGACTAGTTAACTGCGCAGTGGTCGCCCGGAAATCTCTGCCAGATCGGCTTGTGTCGCGTGCTTCTTGTTAGTCTTGTTTTCGCACACAATCTTTAGTTCACCCTGAAGCCAAGCAGAACTTGGGCCTGAGGATTGCGGCGGGTGGTGCAAGAAGGAGCCGGCCCTCTTCGCATACGCGAAGGGATCGGAGGCCTTGTCATGGGCTTCACAGATCGTTTTGAGTTCGGATTCCGCGGAGCTCCAGGACAGTAGCATCAATGACTCGGCAACAGAACACACTCTTTTGCTGGTTAGCGTGACAACAGCTCCGACATGGAACTGTGTGTGTTCTTGGTCTTCTCGTGCCTGGATGCCATGATCTTGGGGTTGTACGGTCTCTAGGGTTAAGGGTTCAGGGTTCAGGGTTTAGGGTTCAGGGTTCAGGGTTCAGGGTTGGGTTCAGCGTTTGCCGATGCTACCGAAATGGCAGTTTGCAGGCCTGTGCGACAAGCCTGGGCCGTCATGTCTGGCGCGTGGCTGCCTTTACCGGAGCCCCCTAGCTGCTTCAAACGGAGTGCAGAACGCAGTTGCAGATGGTCTGAGCCTTCGTCTCCCTTGATGTCTGCGATTTTCAGTTGTATGATTAGGGTTCTAGAGCACTTTCAAGCAGCCCTCCCATCGAACGAAGTACTTGTAGTACGTAGAAGAAGTGCAACGCACCCAAGAGCCTCAACCCTATATTCACTCTATATGCACCCCACACAAGCCTATGTAAACCCCATACGACCCCCAGACCCTGCATAAACCCTAAACTGCCCTAAACCCTGTACAAGCCCTAAACTTTAGGCCCTAAACCCTCCTGCAAACCCTAAACCATCCTATAAACCCTAAACCCTTCTATAAACCCTAAACCCTCCTCCCACAATTCTTAAACCCTAAACCCTCGGAAAATCCTTAAACCCAAAGCCCCAATCCCCAAACCCTTAACCCTAGACCCTCCTTTCATCCCAAAACCCTAAACCCCCTTCCTGGCATATCACGGAACCCCTGAAGATTCCGACCTTGGCGGGCGCATCTATCCTGTCCTGCTTGGGTCTTCTGCTCCGCTGGCTGCATAGAAGCACATTCCAGGGTTTAATTTGGGTTTAGGGTTTAGGGTTTCGGGTTTAGGGTTTAGGGTTTAGGGAGACCTCCACATCATGGCCCTGGCTTTTAGGAGCCCCGAGCTAATGATATTGCTGCTGCTACTGCTACTGCTACTGCTACTGCTACTGCTACTGCCACCACTACCACCACGACCACCACTACCACCAAAACTACCACTACCACTACCACTACCATCACCATTGCTAGTACTGACTATGTGGGCGCAATCTTGAGGCCCACAATCTATCAATACAGTGCCTAGAAGGCGTTTTCGGTTTTAAGGGTTTAAGGCTTAGGGTGAAAAGTGTGCATACCCCCTTACCCCCAAAGCCTCGACCCGAGATCCCTGAACCTTTACAGCTCAAATCTCCAAACGAAATCGAAACACAAACGTAAAAGCTCAAACAAAAGTTCAAACAACAGCTAAACACAGCATGTTCAACCTTATCTTAGTGTACCGTCTTTGTTTGTCTTCTTTTGGTGTTCTTTACTACTGATCCGGTCATGATTTGTCGCCAAACGTCTATCTATGTCGCTTTGGCGTCAGACAACCCCAAGGATCTAAACCTGTGGTTTCTGGACCCGGGCAGCAGTCAATGATGCATTTGTTGGGGACTCGGGGCTTGAGTTTGGAGGCTCTATGGCTACGACGGCCTCTGACTGGAACCCTCCAGGAAGCAGGCAT